ACTCCATTTGCCTCTATTTTAAAATCCATTTGGTACAAATGCTGCAACTCTAACACGGCACTGGTGCTGCAGAAGGTAGGCGGGAAAGTTTGTGGCTCCATCAAAACATTCCACAAATGAGCCTATTTCACTAGATGGGAGAGCTAGAGACTCACTTGAGGGCTTTAACTCACTCTCAGCAGCAGTCACTCGCTTTCCAGCTGCCTCAGGAGCCGCTGTGGGGTAGGGTCTCCCAAATTCTCTGTCATTCCCTGAGGAAGAAGGTAGCCCTAGCTATAGTGTTTTTATTAAAAACTGAAGAATCAGATTTTCAATAACAACTGGAGATAAACCTGGAATGTCTTTCATAGCTAGACAGATAGTTAGAGAGCTACAGGATAAATTTGTCCTGTTTCCTACCAAAAAAAAAAATAATTGCAAGGTCATCTCAGACAGAAGTGAAGGGCAACACTTGCTCCTTGTCCAGCTCCAGGTTTCGTGAGGGCCCTTTGGCTGCTTGTCTTGGTCCAGAGTGCTGCATTCAGCAACCATTAGCTGCCCTTCTCAGCTTGCAAAATCAGGATATTAGCCATAATAGAAGGAATAAAAAAAGGCATTTAAGCTCTGGATGAGATGCGTATATCAAGATGCATATTACTGCCTCAAACCACTTTAATTATTTTCTTGAAAAAATATATTAGGGTCTGTAAGGCATGGATGGCACCCATTAAGGTAACATACTCTTGATCTGCTAATCTGTTATACATCTGCTAAGGATATGTGAGGCAGCACCAGGGGGATATAGGTGAAGAAGAGAGAATAGGTGAAGTAGGGTGAGAAAGTAACAGAGAAAAAAGTCAGCATTAAACATTCTCTTCCCCATCCATCATGGCAAGTGGTAGCTTGTGGACCTTACAGCTTCTTTTAGCTCATTTTCAAACATAAAGGCTGAATCAGGAACTGTTCAACATTTCACGTTTAAGGACAGATGTTGAAATTGCATTGGAGTGGACAGATCTCTGAGAGGGTCAGTACATATGGAGCTGATTGCAGGACCAAGGGGCTGATCTTTTTAAAT